AACAGGTTTAGTATGAGAACAGGGATTTAATAGCAGCTCAGCAAGCTGAAATAGCTAATCTACAACAAGCTTTGAACATTTCAACATCAACTCTTTCTCAATTGAATCTGCAATCATTCATTACAGTCAGAAGATCAAAGACCAAGCTACTGAACTGTGAGAAGTATGATGATTTTAATCTAAAGCACTACTCTCAGTGAGAGCTAAAGCTTCAATCAAAACTTAAGATCAATGGAAAAGCTTTAGGTAATAATGAGGAATGTGCTTGGTATATGTACTCAAGACTGGAAGAAATGGCAGCAGCTCAAGTTTACCCTTGAGTTGAGAATAATAAAAACAAGATCAACTTCACAGTAGAGAGCTTACTGAAGCAGACACACATGCTCTTTAGTGATTCTGCATGACAGAAAAAGACTATGCAAAAGCTCAACAATCTACAATAGAGTAGAAGAGCTCTTTTTGACTTTCTGCCTGAATTTAATCAGCTACTGCTGGAAGCTAGTGGTCATAGATGAGATGATCACATTAAAAAGAAGTATTTGAAATCCACTCTAAGCATGAAGCTGAAGGAAGGTATGATGAGTGTAAGAGAATCATCTCTCTACAAGAATTACTGCAAGAAGCTTAGATTAGTTGATCATCAATTCTTTGAGCTTAAGACTTTAAGGCAGTAGTCTAAATGTCACAAGAGCAGATCTTCTTCAGATCATACAATATCTAATCCACACTTTCTACTTTGTCATGCTGTTCTTGACTGACAAAACCAGTCTCAAGCTTTTACTGATGATCTGATGAATCTCTCTCCTGGTGCTGTGACCCTAAGTGCTCACCACATCAAATTGATAAATCAGACAGAGGTTAATTGATGAAGAGAGCAAGACCTGTGCCTGAGATGCAGAGCTGAAGGTCATATGATTAAGAGCTGTCTGTTCAAACCTCCCAGACACCCTGCCACCCTCATGATAGCTAAGGTGATCCCTGAGCTAGTACTGAATGATGACAATGTGGATATGAGTGAGGATTTGGGAAAAGAGTAGCTCCAATCAAAAGACACTGAGAGGAGCAAAATAAGAAGCTTATGAGAAAGCAATGAAGAAGATTTAAATCTAAAATGATATTCAAACCCTTCACTGTCAATGCTCTAGTAGATAATGCCTTTTTGACTAAAGTAATAATAGATAGTGGATGTAATGTCTATGATCTTATTTCTCAATTCTACATTAACAAGCATAAGCTCTTGTGCATTGAAATTCCCTCTGTTAAAATGACTGGCTTTGAAGACTTCATGAAACTCTCTATGAGCATAGTGACTGGTATTCAAATTGATATAGACAGTTATATAACTGAATGAGCCTTTCTCTACATGGTGAATGGGTTACATAGTCATGATATGTATGTAGGTGACCTCTGGCTGGCCTAGCAAAAGATGACTATGATCCCTTATCAAAGAATTGTGAGATTTAAAGAGAGTGACATAGAGATAGAACCTAGTTCAAATGTAAAAGCTGATGTGATTCTCATCTCTGTCATAAGCTTCTCTAGGCTTATAAGCACTTGAGAGAAGCAAAACATTGAGATCTTCACTGTCAGTTTAACTGACATTCAAAAGACTCTAGAAGTGAAATCAAAGATTGACCCTAGAGAAAAGCTGCCTGAACATTATCATGAGTTTTTGAACATATTTGATAAGGAAGTCACTGACACTTTACCCCCACTTCATGGCTCAGATAAAGATCATGAGATTGAACTGATTAAAAAGACTGATGGTAGCACAGAACAACCCCCTTGAGGCTCATTATATAATATATCTCAAGAGAAACTACTGACTTTATGAAAGACTCTTATAGATTATCTAGATAAGAGTTTTATTAGAGTGAGTAACTTCTCTGTGGCTGCCTCTGTACTATTCACAAAGAAGTCTGAGAGTGGACTAATATTCTATGTGAACTATCAAGCTCTTAACAAAATCATCTGAAAGGATTGATATTCTCTATCATTAATCAGTGAGACTTTACAGTGAATTGGACAGACTAAATAATTCACTAAGCTGGACATTATTGCAGCTTTTCACAAGATTCAAATCATGGAAGGTGATAAATGAATGACAGCCTTTAGAACCAGATATGAGCTATTTGAGTGACTGATTACACTCTTTGATTTGGTCAATGCTCTGAGCACATTTCAAAAATATATCAACTGAGCATTATATGAATATCTGGACAACTTCTGCTCAGTCTATTTAGATGACATCTTGATATTTTCCTCAAGAAGCTTACAGAAGCATTGTGAGCATGTACAAAAGATGCTTATATGTCTACAGGAAGTAGGCCTGCAAGCAGACATCAAAAAGAGTGAGTTTGAGATGAACAGCACAAAATATCTTGAATTCATCATTGAAGTGAGCAAGGGTATATGAATGAATCTGGAGAAGATTAAAGCTGTTTTGGAATGAGCAACACCTACTACTCTTAAAGATGTATGATGATTTTTAGACTTTGCCAATTTCTATAGATAATTTATTAGGAATTTCTCAAAGATTGTGATCTCACTGATAATTTTTACATGCAAGAATATTTCTTTTTTGTAGATGAGCAAGGCTGAAGAAACTTTTAAGTGTCTAAAATCAATGTTTATCTTCACTTCAATTCTGCTTCAATTTGACCCTGACTGTGAGACTATATTGAAAATGAACTTCTCAGATTATGTCTCAGAAGGAGTGCTGCTACAATATGATGAGCAGAGTATTCTACACTCATGTGTCTTCTTCTTTTGCAAGCATTCACCTGCAGAATGTAACTACAAGATTCATGATAAGAAGTTATTAGCAATAATTAAGTATTTAAAGAAATGAAATACTGAGCTATGAAGTATAAAGAAATTCAAGATCTTCACAGATCATAAGAATCTAGAATACTTCATGACTATACATAGACTAAATGAAAGACAGCTATATTGAATGAATATTCTCTATCAATTCAACTTCAGAATTGATTACTGACCAGAGAAGTTGAACACTGAATCAGATACTTTATTGTGAAGAGAGCAGAACATGTCACAGAATGCTGATGATGAGAAAATCAAGCAGAGACAAGCTCAACTACTTAAGTTTAATGTACTGACATCTGAAATGAAATCAATAGTGGCTGCTATCAGTATGAAATCTAAGATGTCTCTTCAAGCTCAGTGAAATGAGATCTACAAAAATGACAAGATTCTACAGTATCTGAAGCAAATTCTTTGTGAGAAAAGATTCAGATTTTCTTCTAAACTCAGCATTAAGATCTCTGTCTCTGAGTGCTCTTTAAATGAGAATGAGAAGCTTCTCTTTCAAGATCATAAGTGAGTGCCAGACTTCAAACCTCTTCAAATCAGGTTAGTGCATGAGACTCATGACTCATCTCTTATCAGTCATTCTGAGTGAGAGCAAATGGTAGAAGTTCTAAGATGTAAGTTCTACTGATCAGGCTATGCTGCTGATGTGAGAAGAATGATCAGAAACTGTCATCTTTGCAGATCAAACACTGCATAAAGAGATCAATGTCAGAGACTGCTTAAGCCTCTTCTCATTCCTGAACACATGTGACAGAAGCTTTTCATGAACATTATCATGAACTTACTAAGCTCTAAAGAATATATGAACATCATGATTATAATGAATATACTGATCAAAAGAATTAAATTAAAAGCAGTTAAGAAAACTGATGTGAAGATAGTGACTAAAGTGTTTCTTTGCAACATCATCTCTTGACATAACATCTCTAAGGCAGTAGTGTCAGATTGAGGATCAGCTTTCACAAGCATGTTTTGAACTCAGATGTATGAGAAATTAGACATTAAGAGATGACTCTTCACAGTCTATTACTCAGAGACTGATGAAGCTACAGAGTGAATGAATCAGATTCTGAAAATCTATCTATGCAAGTACATTAGCTTTCAACAGAATGACTGACATGAATGACTCTCTCTAGTAGAGCTGATCATCAATAATAGAGATGCTGTCTCAACAGATGTGAGCTCATTCTTTTTAACATATCTTTTTCATGTCTTCTTCATTGATATAGCTGATGCACTCTCTGTTGAAATATCATATAATCTCATTGAGTTTGCAGATGATTATATGAGAAAGGCCTATGAAGTGTTGAAGTGAGCTTAAGTAAAAATGACAGATGCTCAGCAATCTCAAGAGAAATACATGAATAGATGAAGAGATCTGACTTCAAGCTTTCAATCTGAAGATAAGATCTGATTGAGCTTAGAGAACATGAGAACTAATTATCTGTGCAAGAAGCTGAATGTGAAATACAATTAATATATCATGCTAGAAAAGATAGAATTTCATGCTTACTGACTGAATGTCTCACTCAGCATTCACAATGTCTTTAATGTAAAGCTTCTACATGCTGCAGTGATGAATTCTCTGTCTAGTCAGAGGCAAACTGACTGACAGCCACCTGCTATAGAGATCTCAGAAGGATCTGAATTTGAGATTGAGGAAATTCAAAGTGAATGAACCTATCAGAGAAAAAAATAATACCTTGTTAAATGAGTAGATTGAGCTGAATCTATGTGAAATGACATGAGTCTCCTACAAGAAGCAAAGACCTTGAACACTTGGGAGGCCTCTCAGCAGGCAAAATTAGATGTAAAGAGGGCTTTAAATAGTTGTAAAGACCTGCAACAAAGAGGGAAAAGGGGGGTATTATAAGAGGTTGAACCCCTAGATTTGCTCTGGCTGGCTGACTCAGCCTAGCCATCATTTGCATGTACGCGAGCTTGCTTAAGCTCGAGTTCTCATCTCATTCTTTTTTTCCCTTTCTCAAGCAATTCGTCCTTGTTATATAGAAGGACTAGCCTCTAGTTCTTAGAGCTTAACCCTTTACAATTTCATTGTTATCAGCATTGGTAATGAGTGTTTTTCTGCTAGCTCTCATCATTTCAACTTCTTGCTAAAGTTTTGCAATCTCTAATCTCATTAGAATTTCTTCACTAACTTCTGATATCTAGTCACTAGAGTCAATCATATTCTCTAACATTTCATCAACCAGGTTTTTGTATGTATTATTAGACTTGTCTGATTCCTTCAAAATCATCTTGTTTATTTCAAATGCTCCAGGAGCACTTCTACAGACTGTAATAGATGTAGGCAGTGAATCTGTGGGCTCTGAAGTCCTATTCTCCAGGGTCCTATTCTCAGATCCTTGGTTTTGTCTTCTTTTTGACATGTATTCTTCTGTCAAATCTGGTATTCCACCTGAACGTAGATTGACCATCAATGTCATCCAATTGTTGTTCATGTTTTTCATTGTTCATTCATAGCTGTTCATTCACAGCTTCTCCTCATGTTGTTCGCAGCGAAAGACCTCTAATTCAAGGGTCTCATAACCTCTTAGAGGACTGTTATCAACCTTGTTACGTTGTGGGACTCTAAGTGAGCTAGCTACAACTAATAAATATATATGTACACGTGACCTCGGGTAGCCGGGGAATCCTCCAACACTAGTTACATAACTAACTAATCCACCGCCATTCAACCGTTCATGTCCCAGTTGCCGCCCTGCGTCGTACTTCCTTTTAAATCAGCCAACTCTTTCTCCCCTTCTCACTCGCTCATTTTCCCAAATCCATCCACTTTCATTCTTTTGCCCCTCGTGGCCCCAATATCCTGTTGAATTTGCTCTCAAATTATCTACTCCCACAATAACAGGGCTTCTTCGCAGTTACGTACGTTCAGCATGCAATCGTCAACATCGAGCCTCATTGTGCCGGAGGCCAGTGATGTCTCTACCTATGGTGATTTTATAGACCCCGATGATTACGATATTCTTGAGCATTATTCCGAGAACATGGATGAGCATGAGTATTATCCCATCTGCCTCGGAGAAATTGTTGAAAAGAGATATCGTGTCGTGCATAAATTAGGTCATGGGGCATTTTCCACAGTCTGGCTAGCGCATGATCTTCAAAAGAAAGTCGATGTTGCTCTAAAAATTAGGACTGCTGACTGCGAATGGAATCATGAATTTCGCATGCAAAATGAATTATTCGACGTCTTAAGGACGCCGATACCTCAAATCTTCTTTTGTATCAGGATACTTTCTCTCTACCAGGTCGTGATCGCGATCGCGATCATCGCATCCTCGTCTTCCCCGTGCGGGGTCCCAGTCTAAGTTCACCTCACACAGACAGAATGCCGATGGCTACTCGCATGTCCGCTGCTAAGTAGCTGTTAAAAGCCCTAGAATCTCTCCACGGGTGCGGAATTATTCATGGGGGTAGGTCAACTTTAGCTTACTCGACTCTTTCTTTGATATTTAGTAGTTTGTTTTATTTCCTTTGCGTTTTTGTTGGACAACATTGATTTGCTATCCTCTTTCTCTATTTACATGTTAATGCATCTCCGTGCAGACGTGAGCGGTGGGAATATTTTGTGGGATATGGTCCCTCTGGACAAGTACAACACGGCTACGAAATACAAATATCTCGGTCGACCCGAAAAGGCAGCTCTACGACCCGGAGCTTGGAAAGCCGGAGAGCTTGTCAGTGAAACAAAGATACCTCAATCTTTGCTGAGAGCAAAAGTATATCTCAGTGACTTTGGTCTTGCAACAGATGCCAATAATCAGATCATGAATAAGTGGCAGCCGACCTGGGGATACTGTGCTCCTGAAAGAATGCATAAGTTTCCAGCCAGCTTTGCCGGTGATATGTGGGGTTATATGTGTATCTTGATTAGCTTATATTTTCGACATTCGATATTTGATCGGGGCCTTGATGCCATAGTTACTGCTCTTGGCCCGATGCCTAAAGAGTGGAAAGGTTTGAAAGAGAAACCAGAAGACGAGTGGTATGATCAGAATATGAGAGTTGATACTAAGGAAGTATTGGAACGGATGTTCAAACTCGAACTTGCTGACGTGAGTACAGCTGAGCGAGGTCATATAATATCCATTATTCTGGCAGTGCTTCGCTATCGTCCGGGGGAACGCCTTACTGCTACTCAGCTTCTCCATCATCCTTCATTCAAAGCGGTGATGAATATGCACTGGCCCTAGCATCTATGTATTACATACATGCATGACATATATATTTTGTTGCCCTGTTCTTCTTGCAACGTTTTCCTCTATTATGTTCTAGCTTGTATTCTCTTATTAGTTGATGAAATTACAATGAACCAAAAAGGCAAGTGACATTCTACCCACCTGGATGGGCTCTAGTATACAATGAAAATGCACCTGACTGTTGAGATATAGAACGATTTCACCTTACTTCGATGAACTGCACTGGAGGAATCGAAAGCCAGCAAGGTGTGTTGATGTGAAGCCGGCAAAATAAAAACTCAAGTCATTTGAATGGGAGACAAGCAGGAGCTTCCCGGGAGGCTTCACTCGAACAGAGCAAGTCAGTCTTGTATGGTATGGATGTGCAATACAATACAATACTGTTAAGACATGTATTACTCCATATATTTTATTTTACCTGTTTCTCATGCATATGTGGGGAGTTTGCCGTAAGCGCCATTCTTACCTCCATCAAGCTATCTCTGAACTTGTTGCCTTCACTTACTCTCACTACTCCGTACTCTTCTCCAATCAAATCCAGAATGTTTATAAGAGATTCTCTCATGCATTGGGGTACAGGGTGAGTACCCTGATAAAAACAATCATACTGATTTCCGATCATTAAGTTTCTATCAATCCTTGCACCTTTCATCACATCTTTCTCATTCATAATGACTCCGCCTCGTGTTAACTCTTCTTCTCATCCAATCATTTAACTGCATAAGAATTTCCCCAAACTGAACATAAAAGAAATCTTGTGGACTTGGGTCTTAGCCAGCTTTCCCGGCTCCACTGCATAAGATGAGCCTTTATGCAATGAGACAAGGGCTGGCACTAGGGGTATGTTGGAGAAACACAAGGAGCACTTATCACCCAATCAACCTGGTCATACCCAGGGCACATGTTGAGACGCGCGCTTACGGAAAGTGGGGATTGGGAGCTTGATCACATTCTGATTCTATTTTTTCATCTGCGGGACTAACCTGGCTGTTCAGTGTTTATATTTTTTTCTCGTGAGTGCCACTGGGTGCATCAGGCCAGAGCCTTTATTCAACCTAAGATTCAAGCGCTAATAATCATGCCAATAACGCGTTTTCTGGTCCCCAAGGTTTGGGTGGTGATGCTTTTTGTTCATGCAAACTTACTTCCCTCTGTCTTCCTTCCCATGTATAAATATCTTCCATTCAACCCATCAACTTTCTCATTCTTCTTGTCTCATCTTTACCCATCAAACAACTGATTACCACTTCTGACTGTTCTATCAAGATAATTTTTTATTCAATTCCTTCCAAGGTCTTCCCAAGGACATTTTCTCTGTATCTTCATCTCTTTTCCACCGCATATCTGCATCTTCGATATCTACCATTCTCTCTTTCAATATGGCTTACCCCAATTGCCTCGATCCTACCGCCTATGAGGGCAACGTCGGCGGTATTCGGATCGAATGGCATCAAAACGCAGTGGACAGACTATCTAGAGACGCAAGAGAGCATCAAATGGATGAAGCTTAATTCAAAAAGATGGCGGAGCACTTGACCCACGAGGGTGCTAACAGAATGCAGGCTAAGACGGTAGTAATTCTGTATGTTAAGCAGAAAATATCTCTTAATTGTACCGATTCAACAGGCTGACTCCCCCACCACCAGCAATGCTTCACATGCCACGACCACTGTCGACGGCAAACCAGAAAAACATCCCGATCATCTCACTGTTCAACTTAAAGATAGAACGACGCCACCTAATCAACTAAAATCTCATATCTATCTTGATGGAATTGACCCAGCAAAAGCGGATAGAGATGTGAACAATATCAAAGGTCAAAGGGATGGGCATTACCTACCAAAAAAAAAAAAAAAAAAAAAAAAAAAAATTCAATGAAGCAATGTCCTGGGGTTTCTATGTGCCCCATGGGGAAAAGTGATATACTCTTATGACGTTGTTCGGATGTAATGAGATACATGTATTTACGAGAATACGCATGTTGCATCTGAGAGTCAGAAGGATCTGAAGTTGAAGTCTTTTCAAAAGCTTTTTATCAGTCTAGGGCCTCGATGGTTTTGCACAGCTCGCGGCTCCCTCTATGCGAGAGGGTTTCTGGGGGCTTGGCTTGTGAGGTTACGATGAATTCCAACTCTGTGATAACTGTCAGAGACCAAGTCATAAAGAGATCGGATGTTATTTACCCATTCTGCTGGCAAAATGATCTGTATTTGATGGACGATGGAGCATGGCATGCATGCTTGCACCCAATTCCTATGGTAACGCGCATCATAGCTCCTCACGTGACTACATAGGCAAAGTGAGCTGGTTCTATGCCTCAGCCCCCGTCTACACTAGAGCAGCATCAAGAATAATATTTGTTAGATATCAGCCTTTAACAATGAAGCTATTCCAGAGCAGAGGCCTTATATGAAACCGGGCACTTATGAAACCGTCACTTACATGAAACCTTCTCCTCTTTACTCCTTTCCTTTTATCAGGAATAGGGTGATTCAGGCTCCCATTATTATTAACTATCACCACATTTGTACATTAACAACTCTCTGATCGTTATACAAAAACATCTTAATCAATCCTGATCACATCCCTATAAGCTCTCTCCCATCCCCTCAGGCAGCAAGCCTGATGGCGTGCCGACGCAGCGCCGCCAGCGCGCCCAGCCCCCCAACACCACCGAACGCGTCCCGAGCCTTGACGCGCATCTGCTCCCCCATACGCCGTCCACCCAAGAGACCCCATCTCCTCACCCCAATCGCCCGCCGCACATGTGAACTGAATGACATGGAGTCTCCAAGCTCCCCTACACCAGCAGGCAGCTCAAAGAGCAGAAATGTCGCACCAATTCACCTCAACCTACGTGGCCCGATGGCTAGCGATCTCCTAGCCGCCCACGAGGCTGAGGCACAGAAATCCCATGCAGAAGCACTAGCGGCTGCAAATATGCTTGATCGGATTGAAGAAGACCTAGATGTCATGAAGGCAAAAGGCCTATCAAGGGCACTGGCCCTTGGAGCCGCTGTGAAGGCGTTAGTCAAGGACTGGTACAATGGAAGTCTAGAAACAGCTAAGCAGTCCACCACAATCAAGCCTGCTGGCTCCACTGGTGCAAATGATGCAAGAGCTCCTACCTACGCAAAGACAGCTGCAGACAGCACCAATGTAACAAAAACACCAGCAACCATACTGCAGAAACCCCTGCTTAGGAATAACCCCAGAGAAGGAAAAACACCACGAATCCTCGCGCGCCTGCCTTCAGATCATCTAGCTCGCAAAGCAAGCCCAATTGCTACTCTTAGAAAGCTGAAGGCTGAACTCCCAGGGCCTTTGGCAGCAGCCATCACAGCAGTTCAAGCCATCCCCACAGGCATTGCCATCATTCCTAGAAGCTTGCAAGACATGGAGGCCCTGCTAGCCCAAAAGAATGTTTTAGCAGCCACCCTCACCAATACTCAGATAGAGAAGGAAGAACATTGGATCACCTGCCTGATTCCTGGGCTGCCCATGGAGATTAGTGACTATGGTGGTGGAACTCTGCATCTCTCAGCAGAATCCATGACAGAAGAATTCACACTCCAAACCAGAATCAAGCCTGTCCAGAGTCGCTGGGCAAAAATACACCCTGGAAACCCAACAGCCACTCTTATATTACACTTTTCGCAAGAGACAGCAGTAAACCTGCCATCAAAAGTGGAACTATATGGATATCAAAGACCAGTGATCAGAAAGGCACCTAAGGTCAAAATACAACAATGCAGCAAATGCTGGGGATTTCATCAAGAGAGATACTGCCTCCGCGTCCCTCGCTGCAAAAAATGCAGTTCTAAGAATCATGTGAAAGGAAATCCATCCTGTCATAAGGAGAATGAAGCATGTGGATGCCCCAATCGCTGCACTAACTGTCTTGGACCACATGCCGCGGATGATCCATCCTGCCCCGCCAGACCAGGGATAAAGAATGGGACTGTTCAAAGGCACTCAAGAAACCAGCTGAGGGATATCCGCAATGCACAGAGTAAGGCATACTTGGCCAAGGCAAGTAACAGCAAATGCGGTGGTCGAGGGCCATCAGCAGACCTGAGGTTGAATGATTCTACTGAGCATAGATCTAACCTCACACCGACATCAAACACAGCACCAAGCACAGCATTGAGCACAGCATCAGGCACAGCATTAGGCATGGCGCCCAACCCAACATCTAATGCAACACCCAACACGTCATCTCACGCAACAACACCCTCCTTTCAGCTACTCAATGAAGAAGAACTCTAGATCTCCGCAATTCCTGCAGATTATGCAAGTCAACATAGGAAAAGGGGGCCCAGCACACGAGACGGCCCTCAATCTAGCGTTTGAAAGAAAGACTGACATCCTTCTCATACAGGAACCCTGGATTCACAGGAACTTAAGCCAATGCATCTCCAAAAAGCATCCAGCATTCAACTGCTTTGCCCCAATTGAAAAGTGGGACAGGAAGCCACGGGTCCTCACCTATGTGCGTAAACACCCACAAATCCATGCTCATGCAGTCCCAGGCCCCTGGGCAGAAAACCGGGACATCCACATGCTGCACATACAGGCCTGGGGTCTACAGCTTCAGACAGTCAACATATACAATGCACCCCCAGGCGCAGAGGATCCTGGACAAGGTGTGGGCTGTCTTCTCTCCTGGTCTGTCCCAGCACTCCCATTGCTCCTTGCTGGCGACCTCAATATCAAGCACCCCGTGTGGCAACCAGGAGTGCCTCCAAGCATGTGGGCGGAACCATTCCTGCAATGGACCATGAATTTCAACTTTACTCTCACCATGGACCCAGACACTCCCACACGTGGGCATAACATGATAGACCTGGCCTGGGCCACCCCGGAATTAGTTATCAAAGGAGTGGACACACAGGTGGACAGATCCCTTTACACTTCCTCTGACCACCAGACTCTTCTCACCAAAATCAGCCTTCCACAGGGCACAAGGCCTGACAGGCCAACCCATTTTTTCCGTCTCGACACCATGAATGAGAAGGTCTTTAACCAGACGCTGGAGGCCTATAAGCCAAAACTAGACAAACTATGTGATTTCCCAGAGTACCCCAATACAGATCAGCTGGATGCCCTGGCTAAAGGTATCACAGATGCACTAATAGCTTCCCTGGAAAGTTCCACCAAGAAGAGCACCGGGCAAGGCACAGGTCAGCCATGGTGGAATGAGGACTGCCAGAAAGCAGTGACAACACTACATCGTGCACAGCACCTAGGCTCTAGTTTTTTACGAGAAGCAAAAAGCAACGTAGCCAGGACCACCAGGAAAGCCAAGAGAGAATACTGGCGAGGCAAGATAGCAGAGGCCTCAGTGGGGAAAGATATCTTTAAGATGATCAAATGGGCCCATTCAACTGGCTCCTTTCATTCCCCCCCTCTTGTAGATGAAGAGACTGGGCGAACGCGAACAACCCCTAGAGAGAAAAGAGACCTTCTGCAACGGGTGCTCTTACAGAAGGCTGCAAGCAGAGAGGATATCCCAATCAGCTGGTCCAACCCACCATCTGTCAAATTACCTTTTCCTGTTGCCTCAGCACATGAGATACAAAGTTCTCTGCTGAACACGGGTAATACCACTCCAGGAACTGATGGAGTGCCAACAGAGGTGCTACGAAAGGCATGGCCACATATTAAGGTATCAGTGGAAAGGCTGTTCAGAGCCTGCCTTAGGGTTGGCTGGCACCCAACCTCCTTTCGAGATGCCACACTGGTTGTGCTGCCTAAGGTCAACAGAGATCCAACACTCCCGCGATCCTACAGGCTTATAGCCCTTCTCTCAACGTTGGGGAAGGGACTGGAACGCCTGGTAGCCCATAGGCTGGCCTGGACAGCTATACAAGAGAAGATTGTCCACCCCCAGCATTTTGGAGCCCTCCCTGGGCGGGCTGCCTCAGACCTAGTGGCAGCGATGGTTCATGATATAGAGGAAGCCTGGGCCCATGGAAAAGTAGTCTCTCTTCTTACTCTGGACATCAAGGGTGCTTTTGATGCTGTACTCAGAGGAAGGATGCTGCGGAGATTGCAAGAACAAGGCTGGCCACCAAATTTAATTAGATGGGTGGAAAGCTTCATGACAGGACGCACAGGCAGGATCAGATTGGATGGACTCCTGGGAGAGCTCTTTGATATCCCAGCAGGGCTTCCACAAGGCTCGCCAGTCTCACCTATTCTATTCATGCTGTTTATTCAGCCTCTGTTCTTTCTAGGAACTATACAAAGAAGACGTGCACGCTTAGGCTACGCAGATGATCTAGGACTGCTTAGTGCTGGAACCACTCTTGAAGGGAATGTTGTTACTCTCCAGGAGGATTTCAAGTTGCTAAATGATTGGGCCAGCAAAGAAGGGCTGACATTTGATTTTGCCAAAACTGAGATAGCACACTTCACACGGCGCAGAACCCTTTCAAACCCCTCAATTGACCTTGAAACAACATCTGGCACTCACTCTATTACAGCAAAGGCAGTGAAAAGCTCCATAAGATATCTAGGAATCTGGCTAGATAGAAAACTGAGCTTCAAGAAACACGTGGAGACCATGGCGGCTAAGGCACGACAGGTGTCTAATGGCATACGAGCACTAAGCAACACAGCAAGAGGCGCCCCAGTACAACTGCTTAGACAATCCATTCAGGCCTGTGTGCTCTCTGTGCTCTGCTATGGAGCAGAGGCCTGGTGGCCTGGAGCCACACGAATGGAGAAGGGAAAGGAAATCTCCAATCGAATGGATTGCCTAGTCAGAAAGCTAGATCTAGCCCTTAGAGATGCTTTGCGAGGGGCACTGCCAGTCTACAAGACCACACCCATTTCAGCTCTACACCGTGAGCTAGGAATCATGCCAATGAAAGAGACACTAGACAACCGGCGTGCTGTATTTGCAGTAAGAATCAAAAAGCTTGACAAGAGGCACCCGCTAGTGAGACGCTCTAATAAAGTAGCTACCACCAAACCCTATACCACACGTCTGTCTAGAGCGTCCAGTCATGCTGGTGGGATAGAAGCATATGACCCTCTACTCACGCCCCCTTGGATGAGATTTCCCAGGAAAGAAGATCTGCAGATTGGGTATGAGGCAGGCCGCACAAAGGAACAGGCAGCACAAGACTTTAAGAGCTGGCTACAACAACGCAATCCCCTGGATCTGGTGGTCTTTACCGATGGTTCACAGATAGAGCACCCTCAGCGTGCGACTGGTGCAGGATGGGCTATATGCTGGGGTAGCAAACACTGTCTAATCTCCACAGGAAACCTGCCAATGGATAAAGCAGAGGTCTTTGACGCAGAGGCAATGGCAGCCCTGCAGGGCCTAAAGGAAGCCACCACCTTGCCTCAGGCGAAGTTTGCCAGCAACGTCTACATTTGCCTAGACAATTTGGAGGTAGCACGAGCCCTTGGATCTGTGTCAAACACCTCTAGCCAGCAGGTCTTCGCGCAGTTTCTGAAAGCCATAAAGGCCTGGCAGAGCAGGGATAGGCTCCCATTGGCCACCCAGAGCAGGGTGGTCATTAGATGGGTCCCAGGCCACGCAGGCGTGGCTGGTAATGAAAAGGCAGATCTTGAAGCCAAAGCAGCCGCAGCGCAGGCAGCAAGTGCAAGCATGGTACCTCAACCTGACAGCATAGGCACTCTAGCTTATATAAAGCGACACACTATGGAACAAACCACACGGGCCTTTGAGAACTACTGGGCCAAAAATCGGCCCAAACGCTATATGGAGCTGGAGATCCCACTAAAGAGAGCCTCAACAGAGGTAAAACTTTCACGCTTCACATTAGGAAAGCTCTATGCCGCCCGATCAGGTCATGGAGACTTTGCAGCCTACCACAGCCACCTTAAGCATGAAGATGCAGAGTGCTACTGCCGGTGTGGACATAGCAAAACTCCAGAACATTTCTACTATTGCACTCTTGCAAGAAAAGCAGCAAAGCGGTGCCGGCCTATCTACAATCTCCGCGAGACACTGGCAACCTCGCGTGGGGCCCTAGAATTCAATAACTGGCTAAGAGAAACAGCCTTCTATCAGAATATCTGTCCAATGCGCCGTCGCGCACCTCCAGATCAGATCCCACAGACCATTCTCTCCTCTGTCTTGCCCCCATCTTCCTCACCACCTCCTCCTCCTTCCTCTCTTTCCTCTCCTTTCTTTCCTTCCTTGCCTTCCTTCCTATCCGCCTCCCCTACCTCCCTCCCACAAACCTAAAACCTCTCAAAACCTCTGCTCTATGGCAACCGACCCATGGGCTCTGCCGGTGCAGCAATACGCAACCCATTTTTGCCTCATTTGTAAGATAGCTACTAGATAGGTAGTCGCCTACGGGCGTAGCTCTACCCGCCCTATAGTTCGACGCGGACTCTACTAGATCACGTGCCCTTAAGGCACGTGGACTAACCGGGCGTTAAATAAAAACACACACACACACACACACACACTAGAGCAGCAGTGACCGTGGGCTGCCTTTGACATCTGACTAGAGACACTACATCGAACGCTGTGGTATCGAACCCCAATTTGTACAGCTATTATTGGTATGAAGCCACGGCGATGATAATCACGCCATCCCATGTCCAATCCCCCGCTGAAGGAACGGACGACCCATCGTTGGGAGAGTAGCTGCGTGGTTGTGGCTCCACAAGGTTGAAGTCTGCTCCTTGTTGAGCCTAGGAAGTTCCAGTAGCACCAGAAACGACGGGTTGGGTGGCCTGCTTTAATCCTAAATGAGAATAGCCGGCTTTCCTCAATACGTGTTTTGTTCGCGCTTGTGACCTTACCCATTCCGTCGCGAAATAGGTACCTGGCTCCTTGCTCTCTCCCGTTCCCAAATTCGCGTTGTGCATCAGAGCCCAAGCCGGATCAACCCTTTGACCATGATCCTCCCTTCTTTGATTATATGTATCAGCATCTGTTCCCAGCGAACTAACTTCTCTCGCAGGTATCAATACATCATGACTTCCTAACTATTCTGCATTTTTGTTCCCGTGTTTGTTTCCCATTCATCATATGAAATCAGCATATTTTCCCCCCCCCTGACAACTTCTAGTTAACCTCACACCAACCCAACGGTCTTGTATACCGTGAAATGGAGGGACTTTCACAAGAAGATCGCAACATTATCAAGAATCACCCTCTCACCAACTCAGTCAATCATCTACAAGGCGCGCTTCAGGAAGCTGAAAAAATATATGAATCACATCGAACGCCGTACGATGGCCAACTCTATCAAAATGTGATCTCAAAACTTGTCTATACTTTACAGGGAGAGGGTGCAGCCTACAGCCTTCCGTCGCGAATCAATGAAGGGGACGTGGCGTCCGATCTAGCACAATTATTCGAGCGCCTCCGAAAGGCAAAAGGAAACTTCAGGTACGATGACTACCAGCCGCTGGTGCACCTGGTTATTCAAAGGCCTCCGACTGAATCCCAGAACGTCGAAACCTGGAACTTCAACGTCTGGAACGCCGTCTTCTGTCTTATTGACGCCGTCTCGCGAGGCACTCCCCCTCCTCCTCCTCATCCTACATCATCGATCCAACAGACGCCCTGGCTGCGCAACACTAGCAGTTTCGCCAATTCTACAGAATATCGAAAACACGTTGACATTGTGCTGAAGGAGGAACTTGGGGAGATACACGTCAACATCCCTAGATTCTTTGATGCGTACTTTGGAGACATTCCACAGCTCACTGCAGTTTCACAAGCGGTGTTGGAGGAGTGCGAGAAGGGGAACAGCCCACTTTACTGTGAAGATGAGGGCTGGAAGGGCTGGCCTGAACTTGCAGCAGAAGAAGATGTTCTGAGATGGCTGGCTAACATCATTGCTGAGCTCGTACGATTAGCCGAAGCACAAGAGCCGTCCTGGAAGATTGACCGCAGACCTCTCGCACAGCCAAGCCAGCCACTACAAGGGTCTGTCGCAGAGAGAAAGCTTGATGTTGGCCTTGTCGATGATCTGACGGCCACAGTGGACTCGAAATGTCACTGGTCACAAATCCTGGTGCCAGGGGAGCTGAAGAATGACCCGAAATACGACAGGAAATCCGGTGCATGGTTTGATCTTGGCAGGTATGCCCGAGAGGTCCTCGCTGCGCAGGACACCCGTCGTTTTGTGCTCGGGTTCACCCTCTGCGGGCAGTTCCTACGACTGTGGAACTTTGACCGCCTGGGCGGAATCGCGTCAGAGGAATTCAACATCAACCAGGACGGCCTTCAATTTGTGTCTGTTATCCTTGGATTCCTCTTGATGAGCCGGAAACAGCTTGGGTTTGATCCTACCATCATCGCGACCGGGACTGAAAGGTATATTGAAATTGATAGGAACGGTACGAAGGAACGGCTGATTATCAATGAGACTGTTGGACGAGCACGTTGTGTTGCCGGACGAGCCACAACCTGCTGGAAGGTATACTGTGAGACAGACAAATTACAGACACCAGTGGTTGTCAAGGACTCCTGGCAGTATCCAGAACGCACTGAGGAAGGAGAGTTGCTGCGAGAGGTGATGGTGAAGGGGGTCAAGAATGTCGTGAGGTATTATCACCACGAGACTGTTCGCATTGACAACAAGGATGATGATGTCTTGACTATCAGAAAGGGCCTCAGTATTCCGATTTTGAAAGATGAGAAGGGTGGCTTTAACGCGAGAGTGCGGCGTAGTCAGTCTCTAAGAGGAAAAAAGAGCCAGGGCAGCACTGCCGGCCAGAAGCGATCATCTGACTGCATGGACAAGGCATTTCCTCCTCCCCCAAGTAAGCGTACTCAGTCAAGTTCTCCATCCAAATCTGCAGGCAGCTCAGCCCCATTCAATCGAGTTCACCGCCGCGTTGTTATCCAGGATTATGGGAAACCAATCTATGAGAGTAGTTCAAAGGCTACACTTCTCACTGGGCTGGCCTGCTGTATTGAAGGATACATGTCACTCCATGATGAGGCTGGCCTCATCCAATGCGATGTTTCCCCCCGGAACCTGATGGTGAATGAGGACAAGGACAACCCATCATGGCCTGCCTTTCTGATTGACCTTGACCTGGCAATCAAGTTAGAACGGGATGGGTCTTCTGGCGCACGGGGCAAAACAGGAACCAGAGCGTTCATGGCCATCGGTGTCTTGTATGGTGAAAAGCATTGTTTCATGCATGATCTGGAATCATTCTTCTGGGTTCTTTTCTGGATATGCATTCACTATGAAGGCCCAGGGAAGGGGATCACTGTCGAGCGGTTTGAGAAATGGAATTATATGAGTACTGAAGAGCTGGCGGCTGCGAAACAAGGAATGATAAGTGAGGAGAGGGATTTTCTTCGAATTGCAGAAGACTATTTTACTCCGTATTATCAATCATTGATCCCTTGCGTCAACCGATTACGGCGCCTTGTCTTTCCAGACGGCGGACGGTGGAAGAAACCAAATTTCAACCTATCCCAGAACATGATTGGAACACTTCAGCATGCACAGGATAACTCAGATGCTGTAAACTAGTAAAGACTCTGCATATTGATAGCGTGAATTGCTCTTTGTTTTGACAAATCTTTTAATATAGCATCTTTGACGAAGAGATTGATTTTCTGGAAAGTCATACAAAGTGTGCTTATGAGATTGTTGGAATGCCGCAAGGCCCCAAAAAGTTATATGATCCCACATTGAGGCGATGATAGTTGAGCTCTGATTTGATACTAAATAGAATTCAATGATTGCTCTTGTTCGTGGCGAATTATGTCCACTCCACTTAGAGACGGCTTACTAAATCGCTAGATGATCACAAAGGATATATAAGCCCCAGCAAATATTTCATGAAAAAAGATGGGAATTATGATTCGGAGTGAACCCCAGCAGCCAGACGACTGCCAGTAATCGCGCTTTGGAGGTTGTCATTCTTGACTGGAGAAGGCTGGTTGGTATCCAAGTTACTGGGAGTACTGTCTAACTAGCTGTTTGTGCATTGCGTCGGGACGATGACTGGGGCCTCTGGATTGAGAAAATACTGGATCTGTTTATATGTGGAGTTTCCTAGCTGCAAATGCTACGCCTAGAATTGTGGTCATAGGACAGCTACATTTTCAAATGGCTCTCAGGGATTGACTCCTCAAGAGCAAGATGAAGTTTCAGAGCCACGCCTATCGTGTCCACAGCACGATCAGCCCAGACAGGCTGTAGCCCATTGAGGCTATTTCTCATTCATCTACAAATCCACCAGCGCCCCTATTCTCTCCTGATTAGAACAACATCCATCACCCCAGTCATCTACAACAATCAGGTCATCTGAAATGAGACTGAAGTTAGCAGATCATTAGGACATATCATGAGCAAGCCTAGAGAGACGGACCTGTACTTTCCACCTGACCAGCATGTGTGAAAGCTGACTTCAGGGACGCGTTCCACAGCTGTATCCGCCTTGCCTGGTATCTCAGGGCAGTCGTGGGAAAAATCACCAAGATTCAATCTGCGAGGGGCGGCGGCATGGTCCTTGGTGTTTCTCCAGCTCGTGCTGAGGGGTTGACTCCTGTCATCTGATGAGATCTCCTCCAAAATCCTGTCAAAGTCATTTTCTGGATTTTCGTGCGACTGGGTCTGTTGGCTTGCGGACTGAGAAAAGATGGGAGATGTTAACAGAGGGGGACAGGTGGGGATGCAAAAGGGTGTCCGAGCTGCTGTTGGGGGGCGGGATAGGGAAGCGGAAATGTAGGCGGTGGAAATGAAGAATTCGGGCGAGATCTGCGTAGTTGTAATCCTCCAGATTCACATGGGCTGCCGAGAAGGCGGAAAAGAGCGGTTTTTCTTAGGGGGGCGGGCTGGGGGGGAATGTGATGGTGAAACGGTCCGGCAATGGAGATCGGCAGATTATTGTCGGTGGGGCGGCGGGCTGAGAAGGTGGGAAGCGGGAAGCGGGAAGCGGGAAGCGGGAAGCGGGACGAGAAGGGTGAGACGGAGGAGGAAAATTGGGAAGATGGAAGGTGCGTGGGCGGGAAGGGAAGAGGAGCGAGCGACCCTTCTGTAGATATTCGGCACAAGTCGATGATGTAACTCAGAGCGGCGAGGTCAGGGCGCGCCAAACCCGAAGGGGTGACAGCAGGGCCCAGTGGGCCAATGGGCGGCGTCCTCGACGGCAGGCCAGGCCCGTTCGGGGATGCAAAATGGGACGAGGGCCGCATCGCATGCGGCCGCGTACTCACCGTCCGATTGTTTACTAAATAAACTTCCAAAAAAAAAAATATTAACTAACAAACTAATATCTAGATGAGATTATCTTTTATAATCACAACTATATATTTAATTATTTATATGTAAATTATTGTTTTTCTTCTCTAATCTATATAAGAAAATACTAAAACTATATTTAAATAATATATTTAATGTATTAATATTATATAAATTTGTATTTATAAAACATTTTAAAATAAAATATTATCTTTTTATTGTTTATTATTTTAAGGTTAATAAAGTTTTTAAGTAAATAATTTAAAAATTTAATTTTTTTAAAATATTTTTATAATTATATATAAAATAATTAATATAGTTTATTTTTTTTATATAAAAACTTTTATCAATAATTATAATTTTATTATAATAAAAATAATTTTTTTTTTTTGATTTACTAATTTAAATTTATAAATAAAATACTTAAAAAGTTTAATACTTGTTAATTTAATATAATTAATAAAGAAATTTATAAGTTAAAGGTTTTATAGTAAATACTCAATAAATTATAAAAATTAAATAAGTATATAGATAAGTTTAAGTATATAATGTCACGGCTTCGATCTAGGCGCAGGTGAAACAGGTGTTCGATTGCCAGCTAGGTAAGCTATCTCAACGAATTACTAAGATGGTTCCTAAAAGATGGGTTCGGGGAAGGCTCTGTTTATATAGCCCTTTCCTTAGCGCAGTTGCCCCTTTTCTTAGCGCCGTTGCTATGCGGTTCCCACGTTTACGGGGTATTCATTTGCGGGGTTGGTTGCGATGCCGTTGCTAGGCAGTTGTAATTACCGATCACCTCGGCCCAGTGGTCTTGTGCTGTTGAGAAGTCTGGATGGAGTTCGGAGCCCGTTCTATGTTATCACATATAATATAAAATCAGACAAAATAAAACAAAAATAAGTTTTAAAAATATATAGATAAACTAATTATTAAATACTTAGTAATTATATTTATTAATTAAATATTTTTTTTAAAATTTATTTTTTTATAAAAGATTATTTATTAATAATTATTTAATATGAAAATTAACTTCTTATTTTAAAAATATAATTATATTTAATTGAATAAATTATGAATTATTATTGAATAATTTATCAATTAATTCATTAAATAAATTTCTAAAAAGATATAATAGATTAATATTTGAATAATAACTTTATATAATTAAAACTTTTTATTTAAATTAATTTTTTTTAATTTGAACTTTTAAATTATATATTTATTTTTATAACTTTTATTTTTTCTTTCTAATAAATTTATCTTTTTATTTTTAAAAAAGTATTAAAGCTATATTCAATTTATATCTACTATAATTCATTCTTTTAATGATTATATTTTAATTATTTATATCAATATCATTAATTGCTTGATTTTTCTCAGGTTTTTGAAATCTATATATATCTCAGAACTCTCATCAACTAGAGTATTATATAAAGAGTTTGCAAAATATCTTTGTATACAGAATCTCTTTAACAGCTAAGTTGTTTTAAATTAATCACCTTGAAAAAACTTTCAAATGTCAATAAAAGATAAATCTGCTCTATGACAAGAAATTAAAATTTTCAAGATTGAGAATGAGTGGAGAATTGAGAAAAAAACAAGAACTAGAGCTATTGTTGAGGTTCAATTCTTTTGGAATGTACAGCAAGATCAGAATCAAATTGAACGGCTCAATCAGCATCTTGAGAAACAAATTCTTATTTGTTAAGATACATCTCAACAGCAAGCTTCACCACACTGCAGTGCCTGTCATAATGTTGGTCATATAACAAGAAGCTGTCCTAGTAGATAACAATCTATTTCTACATTCTAATGAATTACTTTTTTGAAGTTGTGAGTGGGAGGCTTCAAATTTGAGTGAGGTAGTTGAAAAATTCGCAGCTCGGTAGTATGCGCAGCCACCGGTTGATTATTTTAAAGATATATACATTTTAATTTTATTTTTATGACGTTGGCAAAAGTGATATACTCAATTGACTCTCACAGGTGGTTTGGTGATCTCAATCATCAAATTTGGCAACTTTGCGGGCATGTTCCTGAATACGGTCCTAGCACTTCCTAGCTACAAGAGACGAATTTGTAAGAGAAGGAAAAGGAGGTATAGTTCGTGAAGGTGGATTCGCAAGAACGAATATATAGTGTATGAATCGGGAGCGGATGGATAGTATGATCTATCGTATGACTGGTAAATGAAAATGTTTGGTTGCGAACGAAACCACTAATCAGGCGTCAGGCCGTTACAGTATTTAAATAAGATGTCATTGGGGAAGCCATAGTCTGTAAGGAAGTTTATATGGAATAGCATGTGATTTCTTCGGTGTTGGTGAGAAGTTGACAGCATGTATAGGTGGATTAAATACTTGAAGTTGGGCACTGAGATGAAAAGAGCGGAAGTGCAGTCCCCTGCTGCAGTTGCCGGGTCGCCTCCCTACGCTGGCCAGCATACAAATCCCAATACTGTATGCCCCCTTCAGGAATCGGTCTAAATAGGCCACCAATCTAAGACCGCGTCCAGATTTGCTTGGCCCATGTCGCAGAATGGAAACTATCCGCAGAGGACCGCCCGTCACGGTGACAGGCAATTGCCGCCGCAGATGCTTTCCCGCCACGATGTCCTCTCTGAGCACCACCTGCTCGTCCCACCCTCCCGATGGAGACCTTGGTCTTCGGACATATTAACGGTGATTACCACTTTCACCTCATGCTTCGACTTCTGAATCCGCCAATTCACATTGTCGCCGAGGTCCCCGTGACTCTCCGTGAACCCGGACTCGACGACCAATGATGGCCAATTTCGCAGACCTTCCGCGACGAAGGTTTTTGGGCTGCACGGTGTAATCTGTCTCCCTGTTCTCGACGGCAGCTGAGCCCATGCCTTCCAGCTCTGCAGAGTATCTTATTCCCATATCTCTCACCTTGTCGCATAGGTTGTCGTGGAACCACTCAGTGGCAGCTTCATGAGGGAGTCCGGGCATCTTCGCTATAAGCGTTTTGGATTTGGGGAAGATTGTGATTTTCCTGAAGCCCACCCTCTCACGGTCATCGCCAACAATTCTCTCAGGGACATCAACAAATACACAGTAGCCGCTTTCATCGTCAACAGTGCGGGCTGTAACTGCCATCTGGGGCATGCTTTGATATTGATAGACAGGTGTTTCCTTGGGCAGGCAGGACAGAGCAGCTTCGGCCTCAATGTCCTGGTGGCACTGTTTTGGCTCGTCGTGCTGCTGCTGCTGCTGCGAGTAAGTGTGGATAGTTTGAGTCGCCATTTTTATTTAATATATTTATTTTTAATTATTATTATTATATTTGACCATCTGTTAATCAGACTTGTTGTATCCAGTGAATACATTCTCGTGTCTCAAAGAAGAACTGAACAAATCTGAATGGAAAAGGGGACATATAAAAATGTAGATAAGAACCATTTATCTAATTGGTTGGCAGAAAGAGACCGCCCATAATTGATGTCTGTGATGAAATGGTTTCACAGAAACAATGACTGGAGGTACATTAGAATGAATAAGAAATATACTTGAAATTCAAGCTGTTCATAACCCACAATCATCAGAAGATGAGATTTTTTTGGATATAAATTTGATTTGGTATAAATGTCATTGGTGAGCAACAGATTACCACATTGATTTTTAGTTAATAACATTAATTATATCCACGATCAAACTCGGGCAACCCTAATCGAGATAGTGATATGCGAGTGCGTAAGAGCGAATTTAGTATTATTATATTCTGTATGACCTGAGGAGGCCTAAATGGGCTAGCGTAACCATCATTGGCCCAACATAATCACGTGAATTGTGGCTTAGTTCGCGGTGGGAGAGTTACTGAGTGCGTAGTCATTCCTCTAACTTTAAGCTTATATCACTAGCTCAAGTAACTAGTTAACTAGTCACGTTAGTTAAATCATCATCATGCAGATTGAGTCTCAATGTGGGGCGTCATGATGACAGTACGTTGCCAATAAGTGTCAACCCATGATGATATTATCTGCTTGAGACATTTTTCTTCTTATACTAGCCATGGTTTTCCAAGTCGACTTTCTGGAGAAGAAATTGGCATTGAGATTCGAATCTGCTGGAAATTACAGCCTGGCACAGCAACTGCGCCACTGTCATGACGGACTCTTTGGCAAACAGGATGCCCTGGATTGAGTGGACCATATTATTAACATGGATGTAGAGAGCATCAGCAAGGAATTTATATGAAAGAGAAGTTGAAAGCTTTGGAAGAAAAACAAACAAACAAACAAACAAACAATAAAAGGGGGACAACTCTCACTGACTGTAATTGAAGATGCAGATGCAGTATCAAAGATGCTAAAGGCAAGAGGTTATAAAAGCTCAATTAATTACATTGAATTCGGGGGGCGAAATTTGTTTTTTCTCAGAGACAGCTGGCTGGATAATCCATCGAAGCGAGCATATGAAAGTTATAGTATGTACGTGCGATACAAACACTGGCGTCATTTTGAAACCTTCTCGAGAAATTTGTTAATCACATTACATGTAGCGATCGCCTTGCCCGCCCCTGGGATGCCCCTGAGAAAGGAACATGGGAGCCCAACCTATCGCGTTCCACCAGCCAGCTGGCAAGGGATGATCTGGAGGATGAACTAGCGTTCTCAGTTCAGTCAATGCACAAAACAAGTCCTTTTGGCAAGAATGGTGAGGATTATGACAACCGCATCCTTCGCTGGCTGGCCCGATCTACCAGTGCAAGTCTCCCTTGGAGCTGCTCATGATGCTCTGCGATGCAACAATGGCGCATCAATCTCTTTATCTAGATGGGAACATTTTATATCAGGATATTTTTTCAGAGAATAACTTCATAATAACAGATCCAGAGAAGACAGACAGTTAGCAGACGGCTATTCGGGCATGCTTATCAACCTTGATCTCGCCAGGGAGGTTGGTAGCGGACGAAGCGGCGCACGGCACCAGACTGGGATAATGGAGTTCATGGCGATTCAAGAGCTACTTAATGTTGCTCATATTCATCGACATGATCTCAAGTCTTTCTTCTACGTACTTGTCTGGCAGTGCGCTCGCCATGATTGGGAAAATTTAAAAACAATTACAGAAGTTATCTCAGCTATGTGACTCGCCCAAAGATAATATGCTGAAGCAATGGTACGCCGGAAATTACGAGACAATAATCGCAAATATTAAACAACGCATGGCGACTGGTGGATTTAAGCACATCTTAGCAAATGAATTTTGCCCACTAACAAACAGACGGGTTTAAGGATATCTTGTTTAAGTTTCCCCCAATATTTGAGTGTGCCCAAACTGCTTGCAGAGCTATAACTAGTTACAAGACATACTTTTTCCATATGGGAAAGATGCATAATCATTGGCACCCGACAAGACCCAAATCCTTTATACAATCCCATTATCGAGGCATACGATGATATGATCACTGAAATTGAATCTAGAGAGTAATTACATCTAAACGTACTCAGGATTACCGCGAAAATATCTTAGTTTCCAGTAGTCGATAGTTGCAAGCAATATGGTAAGTTTGTCTAAGCACCCTTGGTTGAATTATTGGTGACAAATATTGATGCAAAGGTACCAGGGAAACACAGTCCAGCTGAAATTCAAATATTCCTTTAAATAATTTCGTCTGGTGAAAAATATCAGAAAGAAATATAATATTTTTATCGAAAAACAAATACAACTTTTAATAAAGTTGACTTTTTTATTATTCTCTTTGTCAGTCAGAGTTATCTACTTTAGCGCGGTTTCAAAAAATGTAATATAAAAACAAGAATTTGAATGGCTCAGCCAATAGATTCTCTACACTTTTAATATAGTAAATCTATTGACTCACTCATAATAAATTTCACTTCAAGACCCTTGAACAAGATTCAATTTAACACATAAAAGCTTTTACTTAATAACTATTGATTAAATTAAATTAAATAACGCTAGAATTAAAGTATTTTGTTTTATGTAATGTCTATTACATTGCAATTGCTGTATTTTTGTGATACTTATATATATGATTTAGACTCTGTTGATTTAAGATATAAAAAGCTAAATAGTTAACAAAACTAAGCTGATGAATAGCTAATGAAATAATAGACTCAGCAGCTAAATTAAATCTCTTTCTCATTTTTAATAAGTAGAGTATTGAATACAACTTTAGCACTTTTATAAAATAAGTAATAAATTTATTAAAAAAAATTGACAAAAATGAAAATAATATATATATATATATATAAATCAAAGTAAATAAAAAATAATCTAATAATGAATTTAAGTATAAATCATTTAATTATAAAAAATTATCAATCAAATATTAATTTACTATATTATTCTCCTCTATTAAGAAAATTATTTAATAAATTATTTAAAAATTTTTTTTTATAATCAACTATATTAATGATAATTAATAATCTATAGATATTAAATACAGTTATATTTTTAAAAATAAATATAAGTTTTTATATTAAATAATTATATTTTATTTATAATTAAAATAAATACTTTTAATAATATTTATATATATAACTTATTTAATTTTTTTATAATAATAAGTAATTATTAGTTAAAGAATTTTTATAAAAAAAATAAAAATTTAATAATTAATTAAAATAAATTTATATAAAACTTATTATAAATTTTAAATAATATATTTTATTTATAATTATAATTATTAAAATTTTTAATAATTATATATTTAATATTTAAAAAAAATAATTAATTTATATATTTTTAAAATATAATCAGATTTTATTTCTAATTTTATATTAAATAATTAATTTTTTAAAATAATATTTTTATTTATTATTTATAAAGAAATAAATTATAAAATTTATAATAATATTTTTAAAATTATAAATTAAATTAATAATATATTTTATATTTTAAATAAAAATAAAATATATATAGTTAATAACTATAATATTTAATTAAAATTTAATTTAATATATTAATATATAAAAATAAATTAAATGTATAATTATAAAATTTTATTTTAAAATAATATAATATTTAAATATATAATAAAAAATTAAATTTATATTAATTTAATTTAATAAAATAATAAAATATAATAATAAATTAAAATTTATTTTTAAAAGTAATTTTTACCTTTTTCAAAAAATTTATAAATAATTTTATTTTAAATTTAATATAATAAAGTATATTTAATTAATTTATAAATTTATTTTAAGTTTTTAAATTATAAAGATTATATTTAACTTATAAATTTATTTTAACTTTTTAAATTATAAAAATTATATTTATTTATACTATAAAATTAAATTTATAATATATTTTATATATTAAAATTTAAAATATTTAAAATTTAATTATAATATAAAAATAAAATTATAATATAATAAATATATTAAATATAATTTTAATATTTTTTATAAAAATTAATTTAATAGTGAAATTAAATATAAATTTAATTATATTTTATTAATTATAATAATTACAATAATAATATTAAACTTTATACAGTATTTAAGTAATTGATTAATTTTACTTCCAACCTTTCCCTAACCATGGTGTTGGAGGCCGGCGAGGTTGAATAGATTGAATATTATTTAGTAATATGTGTTGTGTTGGTGTCCGTTAACTATGTGCAGAGTTGACGAGTTTAACCGATCAATGGACTTTAAAAAAAAAAAGTGGCCCCACTTTTAAAACCACGTTCCCAACTGGGACCCCCCGAACTGGGGAATTCCGGAGCGGTCCAGCGGGGCATGAATCCACTCTTCTCAAATAGGAAGCTCGGAGATTCAGTTTCTCAGTTGCATTTAAGGTATTTTCATAGCAAGTAGCAGCCCCTCGCTCATGGAAGGCAGCCTCCCTCCCTTCAATAGTTATATCCCTTGACAGATGTGACGGTTCAACAGGATTACGTTCCGGGTAACCTAGTTACTGTTGTTGGTCGACCTCTTGGATGAAAGTTCGTGCGACCCAGTCAAAAACTACAGGGTAACTATAACTATATATCATCATCAATACAGTGCTCAGGGATTGAAATACAGTCGGTTTCGCTGCATGCCACATGCCACCTTGCAGCTTCATGATCAAAAATTAAAAATTAAAATATATATATATATATATATATATATATATAAAAGAAAAAGGGGGTTTGCAGTCAGGGGATTGACTGATGTTTTAAAACATTCAGAGCGAAAGACAGCTACATCCAATTCCTCAGGTATTTAACCAGTAGCACCACACTATATGGAAATTTCTCTCCCAAGGGGGCTAAAATGCTATGGGAAATCAAACAAAATTACCAGCCAAGCACAATAAAGTCCCATTTAAGTCGATATTTGGAACAGCCTCTCTTACATTCGCTGTTCTTTCCGCTGCAACATTTTCATATAGTTACCTCTCACCAGGAGGGCGTTAGGGAATTCATGGCCACTTCAACTTTTGCCGTCCTTAATCTTCGAGCCAGCATCAGACATCTTTGCATTGCTGCTTTCAATCTGGGAGGATATGTGGGAGCTGATGCTGAGTTTTAGATACAGAGTTGGAATGATTATACTATAAGCATTCCTGCAATTTGTACAGACATCTCGAATCGGAGGGAGTTGGTTTTCCTCCTCTCTGAGGCTATGCATGGAAGCAGTTAGTTGCCGGCGGAGCGGATACAGCAGCCAGCCATTCCAAACAATGCCATCCCCTTGAGGTGGAGTATACCCGAGACGATGAGGGTGATACCTCATTGGTTTGAAGATCGTTTGGTTGAATTTCAAACTCCGTGATAGTTGAAATTTGCTCAAGGTATGCCTGAGAACACCGTTTTTTCTTCAAGTGTTAAGGACCAAGCTCAGCAGTCCCATACCTCTAATAATTCTGGACAGAGACTTTAATGTAAGGGGGGGGGGGGGGGGGGGAGGAGGAGCCTGGACGACTCCACCCGTCGTCGGGATACATAGATTGATTGACAAGGGGGAACCTCATTCCCGGAACTCTCATCAGAACAGTTGGAGCGAGTCTCTTGGGCAATACACAAAAGCACAATGCGGTGATTGGGCCCCGAGGGTTGAGAAGCAATACCTAGTACCCTGGGTAGGTCGAGCAATGACGAAATCTCCGATGATAAAGTTGAAGGGCAAGTGGAGACCAATAATGCAATCAGATTAACTAGTTCTTTCTTTGGCAAGTTCAAGCTTTTAATTGCCCTTTGCCTGGTTGATCTGGTCGCCGACAGTGCTCCATTCAGAAAGGGGGAATGGAGCTTTTGAGCCACGGATTCTCCTTGCTCAGGACAAAAAAATGACATAGGTATGTATATATATATATATATGTGTGTGTGTGTGTGTGTATGCCAAAATTGGGATGCGGTTCGCAGTCTGGTATTTGACCAATCTAAATTTTCAATTTGTGTATGCTTTAGAGATGAGAGGATTCTGACGTGGTAAGTTTATTGTCGCCAGTGGGCAATTTTTAAGGAGGGGGTGCGCGAAGATCCAGACAAAGCCTACACGTAAAACCGGGGAAAGCTCTAGAAAGTTCCAAAGTTGTTGGATGTTCCCCGGTCCTGGGATGATATTAACCAAGCTATTATTAATATTCGGGCATGGATGACGTTCCCAAGTTTTCGATGGATTCTCGATTCAGGTCCGTGTGGGAAGCCCCGAAAAGAGGGGGGGGGGTGGATGAGGGAGGTTTTTTTTTTTTTTTGGGGGGGGGGGGGGAGCTGACAAAGCCCCTGGAAGAAACGAGCGCCAAGAAACTTGCCAGTCTAAATGCATGGAACCCTGCACATGGGACTCTTTTGGGAATGGCGTGGAATATAAAAGTTTAGTTTAAACGTTGGGGATGTTGATAACAGGAATTGACAGCCGCAATTAGAACGTCTCGGTGAGCGCATGGGATGTATGTCTGATTGGCGAGGCGAGGTTGAGCATTGCGCCCTTTCGAGCGGCTGTTCTGCTGTTCTGGAATAGTACTGACGCAATGGTGCTGCGTGCGGAGTATTTGATTAATGATGTATCATTGCAGTAATTTTTACGTCACGCGAACTGCCCCAGATGGTCCTGGAGCCCGGCAGGGGGAGTCCAAATACTGTAATGGCTGTAATTTTAAAAAGCGAATTAAGGTATGTTGAGATGTTATGCGTAAGGAGTGTGTAATGTTCGGTACAGCCCTCCGTCCATACTAACCAGACAAACCCGCTAAGCCCAAAGGACTCAACAGCCCTTGGGGACTCGGGGTCGGAGCATGTGACAGGGCTCACTCCAACCTCCGCCGAACCTTCTCAGGCCAGCCAACTCTCTGGAACATCCACTGCGCATATCCTGCAAAAAAACACTGGCACTGGGCGACTGCCAACCACCGACGACGCCAGCTGAGCAATCCATGATCCATCTCGACTAACACTGTCACTCTGTTCTCCGGGTTTGGATGCTCGAGAAGGCTCGGACTGAGACTCATGCCAGGCTGCTCGTGTTGAAACCCACTGCGCCCAAGAAGACATTTGCTTCCTCCTCCCACCCGCTAGCCAACAACGACACACCTTTTTTTGCCCCC